GAACTTGGGGGTCACTCTACTACCACTCTTGTCGACGAACAATGTGGTAGCCAGCATCACCCACATCCAGGCACCCGCCTCATCCCTAGCTGGCCGGTCTTTCCCCCTGAATGCCCCCGAAATGGAGGCTTTGGACACCGAACCACGCTGCCAGAACGAACTCATGAGTTCGCCCTTGGTGACCGAAAGTATCGACATGCAGAGCCCATGGCAGACGTTCGAATCCGGGTCCTCAGCGACCACGGCTCCCTCCACAGGAACGCCCAAAATGGTCCGGACGTCGTGCAGCATGATGCTCATTTCACCAAAAGGCAGGTGAAACGAGTTAGTATCCGGCTGCCATCGCTCCACAAACGCAGAAAGGAGTGGGGTGTCCAAGTGAATGTGCATGGAGTCGGCCAAATGTGACAGCCCGGTCTGGTCGAGAAGAGCTCTCGCATCGGAAGACATCTCTTCACGCCAAGTCTTCAGATTCTCGATCGCTCTCAGTCTGTTGTGGCATTTCAGCGGCCTCTCAAATCTCCACTCCACATGCGGGAGGCGACGTGCCCTAGAAAGCTAGGGATGACACTCCCATCAATAGGCCCACCGGCCACTGGGCCTTTAACGATCCAGGGTGCATCATCATCGGTCCTAGCTCGTTTGCTAGTACCTGCATTAAAATACAACATATCTTTATATATAGACTTGCTGGCAGATGCATTAAATAAAATATATGTAATAAAAAATATTTCATACGTTTCCCGTTCTTTTTTTTTTCAATTAATGTACAAACATTACATTTTACGTTAATAAAATATAATGAAAATTTTAAACTAATTCATTATGTAACATTACTACTAATTGATTATAACAATAATAAAAATAATTATAATAATTTTCTAACTAATTAATTGTATGGTTCCTCTAAATTACAAAATAATTATACCGTAGTTGAAGAGCAGGCCGATAATACTTTTCTAACAGTATCGATAATTTGTTATGATTAAGTGAAAATAATTTATGTTAAACAACAATAAATACGTAAATTATTTACCTGATGAGGATGCAGATGGGCCAAAACGTCCCCCAGCCTGTCGTTGAGGAGCAGCCTATGTAGGACGAACAGCCTGTACCGGACGAACATGCTGTAGAACTGGATGTACCGGATGAACAGGCTGTACAAGAGGACGAGGGTGGCTAGGACCCGTAGGCTGTGCGTGGTCCTGATCATCTGAGGAGTCGTCTGAGTCATACTCCTCTGGCCACTGCTCCCTCTCGCCGTACGACTCATCAGCATATCCCTGCTGACCATAGGTTAATGGTACACGTGCGCGAAGAGGTATTGACTTCTCTGCGTAGCGGGGAAAAGCATATTCCGACTGATCGTACGGTCCTGGTGCCGGGGGCATCGAACTGCCTGCCTGGCCAATATAATAAAATCCATGCTCACCGTACGGGAGGACTCCGTGGACTCGAACTATCTGGCTGGCCCTCAAAATGATATCCCTGCGGACCATCTCGCACTGGTGCGGAGGGTCTCGAACTCTGACTAGCCTGAAGAGTCTGTACCCTCCGAGCCTCATCGATCAACGTCTGTTTGTCCCGACGAACGGACGCATTGACACCCCGACTTCTAGTGTGTCGGCTGCCAGAACCATCATAATAGCCATCGAACACCTTGTCGTCGTCCCTGGCATTACATTGTCTAGGTCTGCTAACACTCTGAATCAGAAATATAATTATTAAATTTTTCCATATGTAATGACTATTCTAATAACTATTAAAATAGATTATAATTCATTTTTATTTTAATATATAAATTTTATTAATTATTATTATAATTATAATTGTTGAGATTTATAATAATTATTATAATTTTTTATTTAAATTATTATAATTAATACTAATTTATAATTATTATTATATTTAATTATAATTATCATTACAAATTATTATTATTATTTCTTATAATATTATTATTA